ATTAGTGCTTTGTTTTATTCTTAATTGATAGCAATTTATAGAGTTCGTCAAATATGACTGCCCAGTGAAAAATATTTACTGATTTCAATCGGATTTTTCTGCAACAAAATCAAAATTAAAATCGATTGATAATTTTGATTATTGTTAATCGCGACTTAACTATTACTTGATATTGTTACATATACGGTGTGAAATTTTCTGATTAAAATCAGATTATTTTGCAACAAAATCAAAATTGTTAATCGATTTATAATCTTGATTTTGCTGCAGAATAATCTGATTTTAATCGGAAAATTTCACACTGTATAAGTAACAATATCAAGTAATAGTTAAGTCATGATCAACGATAATCAAAATTATCAATCGATTTTTATTTTGATTTTGTTGCAGAAAAATCCGATTGAAATCAGTGAATATTTTTCACTGGGTGTTACTATGAATGCCATCAGGTATTTTTGATTTTGAACAGACCATATAACTATGATGATAAAATGGGATCGAACACTGAATGAAGATAATTGGTTGAGATACGAAAGCATTCATATACAAAAATCATAAAAAAACAAAAATTGATGCTCCGAACAAGACGGCTCGGAAATATAGATGTTAATGAGCATCTTCTCTTGACAAACACAATTTGATTCGCTCACATTACAATCTGAACAAATATCAAATTATCACAACAAGTTATGATAGTCTTCTTAAAATTTCGCTGTCTTTAACTGAAGTCATGCTTAGTTTAACCCAAACCGACGACTCTTGCTCGTGCATTATCACTATTAGTTTAGCGATAATAAAAGAAAAACCCGGCTCGTACATTCTACTTTTTGCACTTCCCTTTCAATTCTTCCGAGTCAGATTCAAAGAAAAATTTTAGTTCAACTAAAATCTACCGTTCTCTACAAATTACAGGAATAGTACTAAATTTAAAAAACTTCTTCAATCAAAAACTTTCGTCCTCTACAAATTGCAGTAAATGTCAGGAAATCTCTACCGTCAGAAACTTCCGCCCTCTACAAATTGCAGTAACTATCTGAATATTAAAAAGTTGTCTATTGTCAAAAAAGTGACGACCTCTACAAATTGCAGCATGCTTTGTAAAAAAAAAATCAATTTTTATAAAAATCTTTTAAAACAACTTACTTTGAATATTCGTTCGCAATAATCAAATTTTCAAAAGTTGAATTCAAATTTTAAACATTTTACAACAAATTAATAAAAGTACCAAATTTAAATGAAACGAAATTTCAAAAAATTTAATTTATTTAAAATTTATTTTCTTCATGTTCGCAAATGAGAGGTAGTCAAAATAAATATCTTCGAATTCCAAGGGACTTCATGGAACTCCGAGAGACTCCATGGGACTCCATGGGACTCCGAGGGACTCCATGGGACTCCAAGGAGTTGGAGTCTGCTGTTTCCCCCTTGTAATTTGGATTCATTGAATAATTCTTCACTTTCATTAAGTATGCAATCTATTCAAATAATTCTTCATTATGAATATCTTCGTTTTGCAACTGCTGATTGGACTGCTTTACATTCACTCTCAATTTTACCATTGTTGAAATCTTTACGTATACTTTTATATGGTATGCATATTCCTCCAGGTGATATAGAAGTTGTCAAATCATTGCGAAGATAACACCAAGGTTATTGGATTTCTCTTTTGCTTTTCGACATATTTATTTTCAAAATCCGTATGATATTGATTCAACATACAAGAAACATTGTTTGTTCATCAAACAACTACGAAATTGTATTCTTAATTTATTATTAAATGAATAAGCATATGTTTTTTGATTGAAAAAGATAGTTGTGGACGTATTATATGATTTTGATTGATTGATATATTTGAAATATTTTTATTTATTTGATTTTGTCATAATAATCATTTATATCATTTCATCTCATGTCTAACATCAATGTTATTATAAATAGTTAATAAAAAGCTTTCACAAACAAAGAATGATGATTAATATTATTGTTCCTATAAAGAATAAGATATGTCCTATTGATTGTTTGAAAGATATTTCAAAAATAAGTTCTTGTGATAATGTACAAATTAAATATATGTGATATTAAATGTTCAAAAACAGAAATGAAATATACTTAGGATTGACCAAATCAAATTTAAAATCAAAATCTGATTATAAAAAGTTTAATATATCCTTCTATCAGTTATAACGCATATATCATACCGAGATATAATGTGAACAATAACTGAGGAAAATTGGCTTTTTAAAAAAAATCATTATGATATTTTCAATATGAATAGTACTCATCATGAGCTCAAAAATATCCTATAGTGACGGTTTGGAAAACTCATATCCATTGTCATTTGGTATTGACACATTACTGAGAATTTGTGGAAATTTCCTGATAATGAAGATCTAAGCATCTTTGATCTCTATTGTTATGTGAAAAAGTGGAATGCTTTTTTTTGGAATAAAGTAAGACTTAATAACAGTTAGAAAATTGTCCGATTAGAAGCTTAAAAAAAATTGATATTGGATTTCGCGGCTTGAAGAATGGTAGAGAAACGATTTGAATTGAATCACAATAGATAGTTTTTATCCGACGTTTTCTAATGAGATTTGTATACTATGAATATGGTCATGTTGTATTTACGTACATCTGAGTGTCCACATAAAATAAGCGAAATTCAAGATTTTTTTTTTTATGGAAGAAAATAATGATTAAAAACGTATTCTTTGGAAATAAATAATAATTAGTGAGAATTCATAGAAAGATCGTGTAACGCTACAACAAATTTTACACTGACAAGTGCGATACTCTTAAACTCAATTTTGTAGAAATGCTCTAACAAATAAGAAAGTTAAAATAATAGATCATCAAAATAAGAGTAATTTGTAATTTAACAATTCATTTGTAATGGATAAAATCTCTCAGAAGAAGACATTCAATAGATTTCAAATCCTAACTGTTGTAGCATAAATTAAATTGAATGATTTCGGATAATTTTTGTCAGTCTTATTCATTATGATAAGCATCGAATTAATTT